AGTCAATAAAGCAAAAGTAGATGTTTTTCTGGAACTCTCTTGCTTTTTCAATGATCCAACGGATGTTGGCAATTTGATCGTTTCTAAATCCTCTGCCTTTTCTAAATCCAGCTTGAACATCTGAAAGTTCGTGGTTCACGTACTGTAGAAACCTGGTTTGGGAATTTTGAGCATTACTTTGCTAGTGTGTGAGATGAGTGCAATCGTGCAGTAGTCTGAGCATTCTTTAGTATTGCCTTTCTTTGGGATTGGAATGAAAACGGACCTTTTCCAGCCCTGTGGCCACTGCTGAGTTCTCCAAATTTGCTGGCATATCGAGTACAGCACTTTCACAGCGTCATCTTTTAGGATTTGAAAGAGTTCAACTGGTATTCACCTAGCTAGCTTTGTTCACCTCCACTATCTTTGTTCGTAGTGATGCTTCCTAAGGCCCACCTGACTTCGCACTCCAGGATATCTGGCTCTAGGTGAGTGATCACACCATCGTGATTATCTGGGTCATGAAAATCTTTTTTGTATAGTTCTTCTGTGTATTCTTGCCACCTCTTCTTAATATCTTCTGCTTCTCTTAGGTCCCTACCATTTCTGTCCTTTATTGTGGCCATCTTTGCATGAAAATTTCCCTTGGTATCTCTAGTCTTCATGAAGCTATCTCTAGTCTTTCCCATTCTATTGTTTTCCTCTATTTCTTTGCATTGATCACTGAGGAAGGCTTTCTTATCTCTCCTTGCTCTTCTTTGGAACTCTGCATTCAAATAGGTATATCTTTCCTTTTCTCCTTTGCCTTTTGCTTCTCTTCTTTTCATGGCTGTTTGTAAGGCCTCCCCACCAATGTCTGTCTCATCCTGAATCCAGCTTTGTCTTCCTTCACAGCACCCATTACATTCCACACTTATCTGCTCCACTAGAGGGTAGCTTCCTGAGGGCTGAGACTGTTTTGTTCACTGTGGTTATCTCCAGCGCTTAGCATAGAGTAGGTGCTCATTAAATAATTACTGAATGAATGGATGGATGCTGTAAACACAGCAGGCCTGAAGAAATGAGTGGGTGACATTCAGTCTTTACAGCTATATTATTCATATCCTCCTTCTGTCTGAGCTTCAAAGGGAGAGGCATGATGACTCCTACCAGAGGAGTAAACAGGGAAAGAGGCCCCCAAGAATAGAAATCAAAAACCCTCCTGCCTCTGACTTCATGGCCAAAGCCTTGAAAAACCTGAACACAAATTAATCTTGCAGAATGTAATGGATATTTAAGGTAGTTAATTCCAGCAAACAGAATAACCCAGTAAACAAGTTTTCCTTAAACAGGCAGACTGGCAGGCAGAGTGCAGCTTACATAAGGAGCAATCACATTGTCTACGTCACCCTCTTGGAGAAAGGCGGCAAGACAAGTTCTGCTCAGGCTGTCCCTATAACCGAGTGATTCATGGTTACAGATCCCACCTGGAGCTGCCTCTGGCACATGTGGGCTGTTGGGCAATGACCCAGAAGTAGCCGTGAGAGTGAAGAGGTAGCTTCCGCACTAGGAGCAACAAAAGACCTTTGCTCACACTCCTCAGATAACAGCTGCCTTACTGCTGGGACAGGTCATGTCTGCCCCTCCAGAGTGGGGGACGGGTGTTGTCTTCAGCTTCATGGTGCCCTGGTGTGTGTGCTGTGTATAGAGGGCTACTCTAGATCATGGATCTCGGTCACATCCATGGAGGGATGACTCTCTGCTGTAAGGATACATTTTAACATAATTTTAAATAATTGGACACTTTTTGTGCATTCACCTAGAAACCAAAAAGTCTTTCAAGTGGGGACTTTACAGAAACTGGAGAAAGCACACTAGGTCTGGGGGACTGTCACCAGTCACTCACAATCCACCGCGTGCCACCACGGCTCTTGGGGGCTCTGCTCCTCAAACACTGGCTGCTGAACAAGGTGGTCCCACCTCCCTTCTCCCTCCTGGAGCCTCAGCCAGAACACAGACCCTTTTCATTTTAAGGATTTTATTTTAATCATCATTCATTTAAAAAATGAATCTGCTGTAGTAACAGAGTTTCCAGAGTCTGAAAAGCCAGTACACAATGACTCTAGTATCATTCCTGACTTCTTCCTGAGATGATAACTGGCAGCCCAGTGGCCTGACTTTTTTTGTTTCTTTTCCAGGAAGTGGAGTTCACCAAACCTCTTGCTTCCTTCTGTTCCAAGCTTTCTGGAGACCAAGACAGACCCTTTCTTTCTTTCTCTTATGACAACAGATTTCACTGGAATTTCAAGTGATTGTTTTCCCAAAATGCACAAACAACAAACAAATCTTTCGTCTTTCCCAGATACTTGACATCAAGCTGGACGGATAGTAGAAGGCTATCAAACCCTGTGTTGATGGACAGATTGAAAATTACCTGGGCAGACTTCACTTTGGGAGTCTCCTCACTAAAGACTGAATGACTTGTTGCTTTGTTGTTCCGAGGTTGCCCTGAGCAGCCACCCTATGGGGTTCCCCATCTGCAGCTTGGTAGGAAACAACATTCTTTAGCAGCCTTGACGCAACTGGCAGGGTAATGGCCGTAGCCTGCCTTTGTTAACAGGAGGCAGGGGCATTAGCTGTATTGTTTCTGGAAGTTGGCAGAAATGTGGCCCTGCCCTGTGGTCCTTCAAAACAAAACTTGAGTTTGAATTTCTTTTGTTGGGGTAGATAAGGCAGTGCATTGAGCTCCATGGAAAACAGACAGGAGGGCTCTGACAGATGGGGAAAGGGTCACCCCCACAGCAGGGGGTCAGCTTGGAAGTGGGTACTATGGCAACCCACTGAGAATTATCCTGTGAATTAAAGGAAGGTTGGATTCACTGGGTCTGCCCAGGCAGGGAACCTGGCTGGGTCTTTGTCAGCCAACAGACAAGAGGCTGGTTTGCAGCTGTGTGATTTGACAGTTTGGTTGTGTTCAGACAGCTCTGTGCTGTGGAGACGACATTACTCTGAGTCTCGCTGCGAGTGTGTATGTAAACCAAGGAGGGAGGCAATGGGAGCCACCCGTTCAGGCAACAAGCAGTGGATTTTTGTGTGTGTGTGAGTGGAGAGAACTTAAAAACAATAATAAAACTGATGAAAATTCTGTTTGCTTTTTATTATTTTCATGCTCTAACAGTTCCAAACAAGGTACGGTGATAAAATACTCTTCCCTCATTGGGGCAGACTTCTCCTATGTCTCCTCCCCCCACCTTTGGTATAACACTGGGATAAACAAGCACCAGGTGGTACGATTATAAATCAGCAAGAGAGTAAACAGAGAGCAAATAACTCCTGAGATAAGATAAAAAAAAATTATTATCCCCGAAACTCTGCCTTGTGGCGTCTACAGAAGGTTGATCTGTATCCTAGGGGACTTTCTCTTGTTTAGCTTTGTCTTGGTTACCTATTGCTGCTTTTAAAACTACCCCAACATTTAGTGCCTTAGAACAACAATCATTTATTTGCTCATGATTCTACAGTTTTGGCAGGGCTCAGTGAGGATGGCTCATCTTTGTTGCATGTGCTATCTGCTGGCCTTGGACCTTCCTAGAGCAGTTTTTCGCTCACAAGTCTGGTACCTCAGCTGAGACAGATTGAACAACTAGGGGCCAGTCAGTCATCTCTTTCCAGGTGGCCCCTCCACATAGCTTAGACTTCCTCACAGCATGGTGGGTTCTCCTTATGTGGCGGCTGGTGTTCCCCAGAATGCAAAGCAGAAACCATCAGGTTTGCTTAATGTCTGGTCTTGGAAGAACTCGAACACTATTTTTGCCACATTCTATAGGTGAAAGCAGTCACAGGGCCAGCCCCAATTCAAACGGAAGGAAAAATAGACTTCATGATGGAGATATTGTTGTGACCATCTTTGAAATCAGCATCTACCTAGGGTCGTTTTCTCTGTTGTGACAAGGTATTGTATGCTTCCACATTTTGCCTTTAATGATGATAAATCTTATCACACTGGAAAAAGGTAAGTCTCGCTGTGACCTTTTAAGAAATCAGACTCTTAGAATTACCATCATGCCTGGGTTCTGAATGACAAGATGGTCTCTTGGCAAATTCCTAAGAAGAAAGGAGATTTGGGGGCATGTAACATTAGCAATGACAATCAAGAGAAAATATGAGGATGAGCCTGATTTGCCAAAATCCAAGTTAATGCCTTGATCTATCTTCTGAGAAAAAAAGTCAAGTGGCCCCTGAATTTTGGTTATTACTTCCGGGTGTCAGACAGTCCTGTGTTTTACACCCTTTAAAACGAGTATTGCTGGAAACAGACTGGCCACAGGATACCCCTGAGGGTCAGGAGGCCAGAGTCTTTCAGATCCTTCATGTATGACACACCTGTTCAGCGGTCTCTATACAAATTTCACCCTGGGTCAGAGAACTGCATCTCAGTTGAAACAAAATCCACCTGAGGGTGGAGATACGTCGAAATGACAATTTTGTCTTTGCTAAACAGTGTGAATCCGTCTATACCCCTACAGAGCTTTGGTTTGAAAAATATTTTCAAGCCCCCTAACATTCCACTCACTATAAATAACCGGGTGACCAGGTAGGCCTCTGGTAAAAACCCACGGTTTTGTGCTGTGTAAACACCAGAACAGAAGCCTCGGCTCCCTGGGTCAGAGCAGAGCCTGGACCGGGCCCTGTCTCCTTGCCCCGGGTTCTCCTGTCTCCTGGAGCAGAGCCCCTCCAGGCTCCTGGCGTCTCTGCCTTCAAGGTCTGGTCTCATGGCCTCTTTTGCCTTGCCAGCTTGCATCCCGAGCCAAAAGACGAAGTCAGTCAACTCCCAGGGTCGGTGACCACAGCAAGGTGGGCGCCTGGCTCCTGGTCTTAAACAAGGAGGTTGGGTGGGCGGCACGCCTGTACCCACCGGGCCCAGCCCTTCCTTCCCACGACGGCCAAGACGTGGTGGGGCTGCCTCACCGTCTTGGGCTCCCATAGCTCTCGAGGCCCTTAGCTTTCCTCTCACAGCAACTCTGTGCCCTGTGTGCGCCCAGACGCTCGGCCAAAGGGACAGCTGGGGTCAGGGTTCTTCCTCTCGGCGTCCAGGTCTGCTTGGTTCTCACCCTCCGGGGCGGGTTTCCGCGTTGGTTCGCCCTCGGACCAGCCCCCAGCACCCCCCCCTTCCGCGGGCCCCTCTCTCCTCGCTCGCTGGGCGCCCGGGCGATGTTGCCCGGGCTTGTTTCTAGCTCCGGAGCGTCGCCCGGCCCGGCGCCAGGTCACGTGCGTTAGTGACAGCCTCTCGCAGGGCGGCCCCGGGGCCCGCGCGCCGCCGATTGGTGGAGCCGGGCCGGGCCCCGCCCTGGGGCGGGGCGTCCGGGCGGGCGGGCCCGACGGGCGGCCGCAGCGGCGGATCAGCTGTTCCGAGGCTGCACAACAACAAAAGGAGCGGAACGCACCGGCGGCGGCCAGCGGCGCGGCCTCAGGAGGGCTGGAGCGGCCCCGCGCCCCGCGCCCTGCCGTCCGGGTGCCGCAGCTACCTCAGCCGCCCGCGTGCGGGTCCCCGCCAGCTGCCTTTGCCGCCCGTCCGGCCGCGGGTCGGGCCCACGTAAGTGCGGGCGGGGCCGGCGTCCAGGGCCGCTCTCTCCGGGTCGCCCCTCGGGCCGCGGTCGGTGCGCTCCCCCAACCCCGCTCTCCGCTCGCCGCCGCGGGCCGGCTGCCCACCGCCTCGGCGGCCCCGGAGGTGCGCGCGGGCGCGGGGCGGCGGTTGGGTGTTTGGTTTCTGCCTCCCCCTACCGCGAGCGCGGCCTGTTCTCTCGGGGCCGCTGCGGGACCGACCTCTTCTTCCCTCTCCTCCTCACTCGGCCTCCTACCCTCCGCCGTTGGGCTGGGGCTGCCCGCCCGGGAGTGGGCGTCGGGGGCCCCGTGCCCCGGAGGGGCGAGCGCGGCCGCCGCCGCCGCCCCGGGGCGCAGCCCTCCGGGGCTTGCGGCTGCTCGGGCAGCCCTCCCTGCGCGCGGCGGCTCCGCTACCCCGCGACCAGCGCTCGCCCGCCCGTCGGTGGCAGGTTCCTTGACTCCTGCTTTGATCTTACCTGTCACTGGTGGAGGTTGCACCTGTGGTAGGCACTTTATCTCCCATCGTAGTTAAAATCCTCATCATTTTGATCATGCACGCTCATTGGGTGCTTAGCGTGTGCCACAAACTCGGTGAGGATTTTACATGCATTAACTCGATTCCCACAATAATGCTGTGAAGTTAGACTGTATTACAGATAGGAAACCTGAGGGCCCAGAGAGATGGACTTAATTTACTCAAGACCACACAGCCAGTTAGAAGGAAATGGTGTTTTAAGTTGAAGATGAGTTTTCTGTAGGGATTCTGTGTGTGTGTGTGTGAGATTGTATTTCCTAATTACATCTGCTCGTTGTCTCCTGTGTTAATTCCAATTTCGAGGAGATTAAGGAGGAGGGCCTCTCCCCCTTTCCGTCTCTGAGACAAGAACACTTTCTGAGTACAGAGTAGTTTTGAGAAAGGGGAGTGGAAAGAGTCCCCTGGGGTTGTTGAACAGAGGAAATGAGGAGCCCCGAGATCTAGAAATCGCTTGGTAACTGAAACATCTTTTTCACTGCAGATGCAAAAAGCTGTAGGAAGTGTTTGCTTTTAAGGCACAGTCACTATAACCCTGAACTGGCAGCATAATTTTCGAAGGCTCCAGCCTGGAACCAGGACCTTGCTAATTTCTGTGACTCAGGCCTGGTTTGTTTTCTTCTTTATCTTTTGTTCTTTTCTGTGAATGCTTCATCGCTTGCTCATACTTCTCTTGGGAATGGTCCCACTTTCAAACCTCGGGGTTAACAGGCTCTGAATTACCGTTTATTGCTGTCTTTGTTCACTGTCATTCAAGGCTTCAGAGCCAACCTGGTGGATCCTGGGGAGAATAGCCTCCTTGTAGCCGGCTGAGTAGGCTGGATAGAGTGGAACAAGCAAGACAACTTTCATGGCTTGGTTTTTCTACCGTTTAAAATTGATGTAAAATTACTTGAGTCAGCACATTTATTCTTCTAAACTAGTGAGAGAGGGTGGGATAAAGAGATCATTTTGAGCTGCTTTTTGATGATGATGTGTTAGTTTGGCCACCTGATATTTCGAAACTGTCAAGAAGCCACACTGTACACATAGTTAGGAGTTAAATCATCAAAGTTGTGGGATTTTTTTTTTTTTTTTATTTAAAATGTTTTTGGAGCCGCCTACTGGCAGCCAAAACCAACTGAAAAGTGCTGTTCTCCAAAGTTCAGAGAGCCAGAGTTGAGGCTGGAAGGAACCTGAGACATCCCATGCTGGGGTTGAGGGGCAAAAGCACAGGGTCCTGGGAACCAGATAGACTTCTGCTCTAACGTGGGCCCCACCCCTGATTAGCTCTGTCAATTTTGAGCAAGTTAATTTCTGAGCCTCAGTTTCCTTATTAATCAAATGGGACAAATAAGTACCTCAAGTCTGTCGCATACAATAAACATTGAGTAAATGGCAGCTCTGATGACTTTATGAACATTTTGCCAATAAAGACACTCAGACCCAAAGATGCTAAGTGACTTGTTCTGGTTTGAAGTGAACTTGTGGTTAATATTTACCAGGTGCCTGCTGTGTGCCTGCTTCTAAGTGATACACACTTATTCCTCCTGTTGGCCCTATCTCCCCATTTTAGGGATGAGAAAAGTGAGGCACTGAGAAGTTACTATATAGATCCTGAATACACACAAGTTCTGAGGAGCAGAGTCAAGATTTCGAACTGAGCAGGCTAACTCCAGAGCCATGTGGCCTCAAGGTTGGTTGCCTGTCTCAAAAATGAGAAAATAAATCATACCAACAAACTCTTCCCAACCTAGTAACTCCTTTTCTAAGTTCTCAAACTAGAATGCTTTACCCCGTGAGTATTAAACTCAACCACCTTTCTCTGCTCACAGAGCATTTCTACTCATGTAATATGAAAAATATTGATAACAAAATGTTAAGTAACAAAGCAGGATACAAAATTGGGCATGCATTGGCCTACAATTGTGATAAAAAAGAAACTCTTGGTAGAAGAAAATGCACAATGTACTAACAATGATTGCAACAAAGTATGGAGTAACAGTTTCCTTATTTATTTTCTCAACTTTCTGTAATGTGACTTGGTTCATTTTATAATGAAGGGAGGGAATGGAGGTATTTCGAGCCAAGCGGATGAGGCCAAAGCTGCCCCCTTGAAGTGCTGGGGCAGACACTTTGTTTCTTTTCTCCATCAGGGTGAGACTGCCAGGCCGGCAGGTGCCACGGACAACAGCAGTGCCTCCCGCCTTGCCTTCATTCCTCTACCTCTTGGCTAAATTCCAGAGCTGTATTTGTAAATTGTCCTCTTAGGACACTGGCCTTCTCTGGAATTTTCACCTTAGTTTTATCTTTATCCTAGAGTTGTGACTGTCAAAAAGTCTGTGACCTGCTGAGGAGTGCAGTCTGAAGCCCTGCTTTCCCTTTTAGCTCCAGAGGACCAGCCCCAAGGAGAGCCTCCGTTCTTGGGCCGAAGCCAAGGTGAAGAGCAGCAGTGACCTGGTAGGGACAGTCTGGGTCACTGGGAAGATAGGCCATCAAGACATTAGAACAGCATTGTCCAATAGTAATATACAGTGTGGGCTGTGTATGGAGGTTTGGATTTTTAAGTAGCCACCTTAAATAAGGAAAAAGAAACAGGTGAAATTAATTTTGTTAATATATTTTATTTAACCTACTATATCCCAAATTAAATAAGATTAAAAATTTAGTTTCTCAGGGAATTCCCTGACGGTCCAGTGGTTAAGACTCTGAGCTACCACTGCAGGGAGCGTGAGTTCCAATCCTGGTCGGGGATCTAAGATCCCTCAGATCCCACATGCCGTGTGATGGGCCAAAGAATTTTTTTTTTTTTTGTAGTTTTTCAATCTAATTGCATTTCAAATAATCGTTCACCTGATGTGCCCAGAGGCCATCTCACTGAACAGTGTCAGTGTACTGGGGTCTCTCCAGCAGCTCCTTGTCCTTTGTGACAGCTACAGAACGCGGGGCTAGAGGAACTTGGCAAAGTCAGGCCAACCTCACTTTAGGAAACCAAAAGAGGCTTGACTCGTGCAGCCCTGGGGGAAGCTCCTCCAGAGACGCCCTTCCCCTGGCAGAGCCGTGTGTCCTCCAGGCCTAGGCTGGCTTCCACAGTACGGAACAGGGCACAGCCAGAGCGGGCAGTTTGGAACCTGCTGCTGCCCAAGCACAGTGGCCCCAGCATGATTTCTGCCTTGTAGCTGCCACTTAACTGGCCTGGGCCTCAGTGACTGACCACATGTGGCACCACAGTTGGGGGATAGGGGCATATTCAGAACAAGCTAGGGTTCCCGTGGGGTGTTCCCTCCCCACCCAGCGGCTCTCGCGAGTCCAGCTGGGCACTCGGGAGAATTCATCCAACTAGGTCAGCAAATACAGAACTGTACTTGGGGCCAATAATTTAAGAGAAATGGGGGAAAGATTAAAGTATCCTTTCTCCCTCCTAGCTCATATGCTCAAAACTTCTACGTACACATCAGCCCTGGGATAGCTCCTCTTTTGGGATAATCAAGTCTAGCCAACTACACAGCCCACTTCTCTTGTCAGTTCTGTTACATGCAACATAAGGTTCACTTTGAGTTCTCATCCTCCAGCTCTAGACTACATGATTGGCCAGACTGCTTTCCAGAAGGGTTTTAGGGAGACTGGTTATGCAAGTGACACTTCCTGTTTACCCGTTTTTCATAATTGATGGCTGAGGATGACAGATTGTGACCACAGAAGTATACCAATGTCATTTATTTAAACACATACTTGTAGTACTACATGAGTAGTAGCCTGCCAAACAGTCGTAGCAGTCCAGAGAACACATAAAGAATTGAACCAGGAGTCTCATCACCAACAGATTTGAACCACATCATTTATAGCTAAGGATGATTGTTTTGAAAGTGAAATATCCAGAGTCTGAAGTTAGGGATTCAGGGCTGACTCTCCCTGTGTGATCTCACCTACTCTTAATGGTGCTTATGGTTCCTCTCACCCGCTTTGTGTTGGTAACTCCCAGATCTGTGCCCTCAGCAGACACCATGCTCTTGGACTGCAAAGCCCTAGATCCAGCTCCTTGCAGACATCCCCAGGACTCATCAACTTCCCTGGTTCCTCGTGTCCAGAGCATATGGCCTACCCCTCTGCTGTGTTCCTCTTCCACTGAACTGTCCTACCACCCACCCCCAGTTGGCCAGGCCGAAAACCTAGGGCATCCTTGACTTTTTCCCTCCCCTTCACTTCTGGCACACAACACCCTGCAGGATCCAGTCCCCACATAGCCCCTAAGCCTGCTGTCAAGACTGTCTGCCTGGATCTTGAGCCAAATGGAAGTGATCCAGATTCTCACTCATCTGCACGTTTCCGTGGCATTCTTTCTCCTTCGTCCGTTCTTGAGCTCAGCCGTTCACGATTAAGGTCATGATTGCAGGTGTCCTTCTGTGACCCCTGTCTGGGATTTGAGGAACCCCCAGTACTTCTCCTCACGTGACACTCATCACACTGGGTTGGTGGGCTTGCCGTGGGAGGGCCTTGTCCGCTGCTGTCTCTCCTGCCCTGAGCACTAGGCCTGATGCATAATAGGTGCTCAGCAAATATTTTCAGAATGATAGTTGATGCTGACTGAGAACTCTGTACCAAGTGCCTTGCTAAGTAGGTTGCCTGCACTATCTCATTGGACAAGAGTAGGATCGGGGAGCCATCTAGGAGGTGGTGATTGGCAAAGTCAAACCAGTTGGCTTCAACCAGGGTGAGAGTGGTGGAGAGAAGTAGGCGGATTCCAGCCGTGTGTGCAGTTTGGGTGAGGGGTGCGGGGGTGAGGATGAAAGGGAGTCCAGGGTGAGGGCTGAGTGTTTGGCCTGAATAACTGCTGCCTCTCTTTCCTGAGAAGAGGGGTGGCTGGCAGTGAGCCTGCGTATGTTTGTGGGGGGAAATGAAAAGATCTTGCAACTTGTTAGGTTTGGTCTGCCCAGCAGGTAACCAGGCAGAAATGGGTATATAAATCTGGAACTCTGGAATAAGATCAGGCGCGGCTGGAGTTCCTCGTTAGAACTCACCAGAACTCCATGGGGTAGAACCCTTGGAATAGTGTGACTTCCTCACCCTGGTGGGAGACAAGCCACCTTTGAACAGGCACAGTGGTCCTTTTCGGTTCTGGTTGCTGGGCCTCCCGAATTCTCTACAGTGTGACTTTTTCCACACCAGCTGTGGGAATGGTTTTGAAGGTCAAAGTGTGCTGTAGTTACAGATTTTAATGGAATGAGGTGTGCTAACAATCATACACAGGAACAGCAGGAGAGAAAAGGTGCTAGGGAAGCTGAGGGCTTGGCGCGGCAGTGGACACGTAGCCGGCACGAGTGCTGGGCTCAGTGGGCAGCTTCTGACCAGCTGACCATGAAAACCTAGCTTTCGCTCGACTTACAGAAAAGTAGTATTTCAATTGAAATATGTTACCCAGGGATGACATTTTATATCCCTTACTATAAAAGCACAGAGGTGAAAGAGAACTAACCCCTTCTATTGTGCATTTTGAGATATTTACAGGTTGCATTTGAGTACTCGATTATATGTTTGTAAAAAAGAGATTTAAAAAAAAAAGAGATTTTGCATCCTTGTGTTTGAAAGAAGGGAAGAGCCAAATTGTAGGCTAAGGCCTGTGCTTTTCTCTAGGGGTGAGCAGATGTACACGTTATATAAATATGTGCTGATTTGAAATAACCTTTTTTTCTGTTTTATTTTAGGGATAATGATTCCTGCTTCTCGCCTAAGTTGAATAAGCACCTTGTGCACTTTAATCCCCTGTCAGTGGCATCAGGCTGACCGAAGACAGGTTTTGGAAATCTCAGCTACAAAGACATCCAGCCAAAGTCTCAGTCTTGCCTTAACAATGTTTCAGAGATTGAATAAAATGTTTGTGGGTGAAGTCAATACTTCTTCGAACCAAGAACCAGAATTTAGTGAGAAGGAAGATGATGAGTGGATTCTTGTTGACTTCATAGGTAAGGGTATAGCCGTTAATCATCACAGCAAAAGTGGAAACTCTTTTATTGAGTTTTTGCATAAGTAAACCAATAATTCTGAAGGTTTTTAAGCCTTAAAAGTAAATAAACAAGAATTTGTCTAAAAAAATTGCAGGAAGCATTCTGTGCCAGATGATCAGGTCAGTGAAACTGATGTCAGCCTCTCCAGTGTGGCAGCTCTTATACCCTGATCCAGTTAGAGGCACATCCTCGACAAGCAGTGACCCATTTGGTGCATTATGTGTCTGTGCAGCAGAAGAGAAACCAATCTTAAAAACTGTTTTGCCAAACCAACATAATCCATCCCATACAATGATACACACCGCCCCCTAACACGCACACAGGCATGCACACACCACACACACACACACACACACACTAGGTGCTCAGAAGTTATTTTACGATCATTGTGAGTGAATATGAATGGTTTTGTGTCTGATCTAAATAAAGGGAGGACTGTGAGCATCAGCTAACAGCATCATCTCTTCTTTTTCTGTGCTCTGATGTGATCTCAATGTGTTACTCATACCCCGCGGGACTTCAACAACGTGTGTGGACTACCATCTAGACACTTGCACGGGTTTCTCAGCAGCAGAGGATGAGGAAGAAGATGACATCAGTGAAGAGTCACCTCCCGAGCACCCTTCAGTCTTTTCCTGTCTCCCTGCGTCTCTCGAGTGCTTGGCTGATACGAGTGACTCCTGCTTCCTCCAGTTTGAGTCCTGTCCAATGGAGGAGAGCTGGTTTATCACCCCTCCCCCATGTTTTACTGCAGGTGGATTAACCACTATCAAGGTGGAAACCAGTCCTATGGAAAACCTTCTCATCGAACACCCCAGCATGTCTGTCTATGCTGTGCATGACCCCTGCCCCAGTCTCGGTGAGGCCCACTGTGGGACTGAGGAATTCCATAACCCAGGCAGTCCCAGGTACGTTACTGTCTCCACCGATGTTCGTGAAAGTATGTGCCTAGTGCATAAGGCGGGTGATGGTATAAGATGAACTCATTTGAGATTTTCAAAATATTAGTTCTAGCATGGCCCGTTATGTAATGGAGAGCTGTCTTGTTTGTAATATTCTGCTACTGAATGGAAAGAAAAGACTGGCATTTCTGCTAAGTATCTTAGAATATAACTCTGGCACTTTATAGTCTGGATTATTTGGGGTATCAAATTTGACAGGAATGGTATATCTTAAAATAAATCTCGTGATCTTCGAAGTAGTCCTAACTAGGTCACATCAAATGGTGCTTAGCCTTGAAAACCTGAGGAATCTGAAGCATGAGGTAAAGAAAATGGCAGATTTAGCAAAGCATTTTGCTCAGAGTTCTTTTCTGCCTTGCAGAGGGAAGCTTTCACATCCAAATACTGTTTTGTGGTTAAATGGGTGCCCCAAGTGGTCTGAAAGGCTCTGCTTGGATGGTGGATGGGTTGAGTGTCTGGAATGGTTCAGGGAGGGTGTCTGGTCAGTAATCCATTCCAGAACAAACTCACAGTCTGGCCTTTATCTAGGGACTACATTCAAGATGGTTCCCACCCACTAAAACAAAGCTGGTGGCTGCGTTCAGTGGCTCAAAGTCCAGCTGGTCTGTGATGCATGTTGGTGGGAGGTCCCCTCTAGTATTAAGCTGTTGGTAGGATACTGGCACTGACTTAATTCCCTTCATACCTGTCAAGGGGACAGGTGAACTGGATTTTGGAGCAGCTCACAGTGTTCTGTGGTTCAGTGCAGTCACCCCGAGGGCCTCTTTTTCAGTTATCCAGGCTCTGACTCTACTAACCAGGCCACTGTATGTGTATCTCCTTCTATTTCCTGTTTGCCAAATATAAACAAAGCCCAGGCAGCTCATTAATCTGACAACTTTACCAGAGTTTGCTGCACTTTCAATATTGTAGGTGTTCTTGAATGAAGATAAATATACGCTTATGCCAGACTGAAAAACATTTGCTTATATAGTTACCCAAGCTTTGTATTAGGTAGGATCTTTGATCTTTGATCTTTGACTGGCACTTTATTCCATATTATAAATTTATCAAGAGGTTAATGTTTCAGGCATTCCAACAGAAGTTTAAAATACAATTCTTTGAGGTGGTTTAATTAATTTACTTAATTGCTTAGCAGTTGATTCAAATTAATTTCTTCAGTTCTTAGAAATTCTTCTCACCTTATTTTGATCTCATCTCTGAGGAGTTCCACTCGAGAATTTAGTGTGATTAATTACTAGCATTTGTATATTTATGTTTTCAATATTTAAAGTATGTGTATTTATATGTGTATATTTAGCAGCTTCATAGATAATAGAAGCAGTCCATATGCACTGCAGAAAATTAGAAAGGGCAAAAATTTTTAAATTTTAAACGACATTTTTCTCACTACTGAGAGATGAATACTGTCAAGATTCTAGGGCATATCCTTCCGGGTGGTATTTTCTGGATGTGCCCGTTCATGGATATATAACACCATTTTTAACCTAAATGAGATCAAGCTATAGGTACTGTTTTATAATCTGCTTTCTTAGGCAATGATCTCTACTTTTTTTTTCCCAGTAAAATTTTACTTTGTGAACTATATAAACCATACTCAGATTTGCCCACTAAAGCCCAGAATATTTCATCTAGTTTGTTCAAACCAGGAACCAGTTCAGGACCTTGCATTGAACCTGGTTAAGTGTTTGCAGTTTTGATGCAGTGAGAATGTTCATTTTTTATATCTTGTCACTGTATCTTGTTATATGTTTTGATATAACACTTAGGGTAGTTAATTCTAAATAAAGGATCAAATGGACACACCTAATTTTATATGAATTCTTTCTGAACATAAGTACTGTAAATTATTATAGTTTTATAATAACTAAAAAATTTTAACACCTTTATATTTGGATTTTAAATTCTTATAAGAAAGGCCCAGTAAATCAAGATAGAAATCAGATGTCACCAAAATTAGGAAGATGGCTATGTAGTAAAAATCTGTATTTTCTGAGCAAGAAGTAAATCATATGCTTTTCGAAAGTTAAGATTGTTTTCATCCTGTGTATCCTTGTAGAGATTACTATAAAGTACATAAAAGTAAGGTGCTTAACAGTTAAAGATAGGCTTCAGAGTATGTACTTGATTGCATTTTAGCCTTTATAAAATACTGTATGTGAAGGTTTATGTGCTATCATAATCTTAAGTACTACATGTTCCTTTAATGACCCATAGTAACCCAGTTTTAATAAAGAAAAGTTGACCACATCCTAATAGTAAAATTAAGTAGCATTTTCAACTTTACTAGTGATTTAATAGTTCACCATTTAACATTTGTAGGGCCAGGAAAAGCTGCTTATAAGACTCACTGGCACAGAGTAAGTATATTTCATTTGAGACTGTGTGATATGTGTTATCAGTCTGAGCAGGAAGGCAAAGGATTCAAGGCATCCAGCTTTTAAAAACCACTGTCTTTGTTTTGTTTTAACTGCTTTCTATTAGTTTCTTAATGTGACCTGCTTTAATTCCACTATTTAATAAAAATAATATATTAAAAATATAACTGTGTTTTCCTCTAGCAGTTGTAGGCAGAATATATAACTGCCTTCCTGTGTAAAATAACCCTTAAAAATCTTAAAGTTCTTCATTACATGTTAATGTAGTTTAGAACTATCTGATTAGCTTTTAATACAGAAAATATATAGTAATTACATGGTTTGTAGCCATATATTAAGATTATGTGTTCTCCAAGGGTCTTTATAACATTGCTCTGCAAATGCCATTCCAAAATGTGCCTGTTGTGATATAAATTTAAAACTTAAGAGTTATGTTTTGTAATAAGCAGATATCTTACCAAGACAAATTTTAGATGAGAATTTCCTTATTTCCATATTTCTGTTAAATTCAGACTTAAGCCTTGTTTTCCTAGAACATTTTGCTTATAGACAGATAAAGTCTGTGAAGCTGCTGTTGGCACAGTGCATCAGTATCAACCCTGCCTCATAATCAAACCTTGGAGTGTGACTTTTGTTACATTCTTGATTGAGTTAGTTAATGATTGTGATGTTAACCTCTCTGAGCCTGAGTTTTCTGATTAGTAAAATTTAGGAATTAAAATAGTTTTCTTTTAAGGTTATAGTGAGAGTCAAAATACATGTGTAAATGTGTTTGGTGTGTAACTGAAATTCACTCAAAGTGTAAAGCACTTTTTTTTAAAACTACAGTCCACTCAGCTTACCACCTGTGGGTGGATTCTGTCACGTACTTCAGTGAGAGCTGGCTGCCTCTGTCTGCCATTCTGTCAGTGTGCTCACAAAGTCAGAACTTGTCTGGCGGCCCTGAGACCCTGAGCGCTTGGTCAGCCATAGACAAGTCAGTGTGGCAAGCTGAATTGCCAAGCAGCTCCTTCAGTTTCCTCCATAACGTCCTGTGTGATGTGATACATCCCCGGTTTTTTCTGTTGCAGAGTGGAAGCTGAGAATGAGATGGGGCAGCATATTCATTGCTATGTTGCAGCTCTCGCTGCTCATACAGCTTTTCTGGAACAACCCAAGAGCTTTCGCCCTTCACAGTGGATTAAAGAACACAGTGAAAGACAGTCTCTGAACAGAAATAGCCTTCGTCGCCAAAATCTTACCAGAGATTGCCACCCTCGGCAAGTCAAGCACAGCGGCTGGGCTGTCCATCAGCCCTGCCCACGTCAGTACAATTACTAAGAATCTGAAGCGTGTCTGGTTGGCTTCTCATAGTTTGTGCATATGTGTGGGCCATGTGCATGTATGGACGGTGAAGATGCTGTCTCTTTACAGCCAACAGATGACCAATCACATAGTTTTATCCGTGTGTTTAGACACTATCTTGAAAACCAGATTTATATGCTGTGTATCACGTAATGCCTTGCTCTTAACATTTGCTTTTTTGTAAAAATTTTTTCAGAATATTTTTGGAAACATATCAATACAGTTAGTGTTTGGGAAGGTCTTTAAATCTATTAAGGTGTACATGAGTTAGCAATTTAAAGATGTTTCTTCCCAAGTACGAGAGTAGGCATCTTTCAATTTCATTTTATTGGGTATTAATCAGTCTTTTGAGTAAGCAGAAATTTATTCTCAGGGTCAGCCATACACTTTATTGACCAGTACTTGATAATCTTTTTCTGTATATAATGAATACATTTTTACACACTAACATGAGCATTAACAGGTGATGTGGTTGCCACAGATATAATGGAATTATGGCTGAACTTTCTTTTGGAAGAAAACTTGATATATTTCTGTGTGTATGGGGTTTTTATTTCCCAGATTAGCCATGCAGTTCATTTTGGAATTCAGGTACATTAAGTGTTAATGAACAGTGCATTCAATAATTCCGATGTGACTAATGTGGTACAGACATTACGGCATCGTGGGACAACAGTGCCCGTCTCACGTGCAGAGGGATTAAATTCGACCTGTGAAATTGTATTTGGGGAAATGTGTATCTGTAAGTCATGTTTGTCTGGGTTCTTTCCTGCCAGCTCTGCCTGCTCGCCACCTCACGTCAGCTGTAAGTTCAGAAGTGCGTGTCCGGCACTCTAGTGGCTCCCCATTTATATCTGCCCAGGGGAAGAGGGATAGGCTTTGCATTTCTGATGCAGTGGTAGATCCTCTGCTATAGAGTCTGTTCCGCCAGCTGGCAAGCAGTTGTGAAGGGGATTCCTGGTGACATCTATTCATAGCATCTAAATGAAGAGTGACAGGTTGAGTTTTTCCTTGAGTTTATATATATATTTTTAACTTGGGCTTCAGGCAAATCCCTTAACCACTTTGGCCTTTGGTACCTCCACCAGGAGGTACCACACACCTCCCTCCCAGCCGTGAGGACCGTGTACTGATTTGAAGTGGGGCTGTCCTGAACTGATCCTTGGGTGAAATTCCAAGGGCCCCTCTGCTGAGTCTAGTGCAGGGGCGGGGCCGGGGCAGCTCTTCGGCCATAACTCCTCTTCAGAGTGTTGGTGATTGTGAGGCCAGGGTGCAGGGTTTGAGTCACACCGAGGCCAGTTAGCTCAACGAACGCAGAGAAAACCTATTTCTTTACCTTTAGTCACTTTATTTTTTCGCAGTTGGGATGGGTTTTGCTGAGCCATCTGCACTCTGGCCAGTTTCCTCTGAAATTAAGTTGAACACATTTACAACCCAAAGCACATTCTACTGACAGAGCAGTAATACTATCACCTTCATAATCAAATAGCTTATTTTTCCAGTCTCCTCTGCATTCCTAATTGAGTACACGACTAGACAATGTTGTCAAGGAAAAAGCAGCATATAGTTATGTGAAGTATTGTTTAATTCTTCAGCAGCCCTGTAGCAGCTGGGTGCAGGGAACCATGGGAGACTTTGCAGTGAATTCTGACCAGACTGGGATGTGTGAAGTCGGGAGAGGTGACATAGCTTAGTTAGATGACGGTGGTAGGCTGTTCCTCCACCACTGGTTATGCTGAAGGGCCAGGAATCTCTCTCCAGAACAAGGGTCTAGATCCTCCTCCTCACCTTAGTCCCCTTCCGTTTCGACTACCCCTTTATTTATTTGTTTTCCTCAGTAGGGGCCAAGTCTGTTAAGTTTTGTCAAACTGAGCTAGAAGTTGTTACTATTTGTGTTTACCAGCGTTGGGAGATAGAGTGTTCATGAAAGTGTGTATGTTTTATGCCATGACTGTTAAAGGGCCGTATGTTGCTAACTTGAGCATAGGTGTAAGCCTCTGAATACATGGGGGTCTCTTTTTTTCACATACTAAATGTAAGCTGTTAGTACCTCATGAGCTCCAGAAGTTCAGCCATGAGAATTTGTTTGGCAGCATGAACAGATTTGTATATAAAACTGCAGTGGTTTTTTTTTTTAACTATTATTTTTTCAGATTTCCTGATACCTTAAATACATTTACATCTCTATCAGTTACTGACTTTTTGTTTGCCTTATTTGGGCCAGGTTTTTTATGCTTTGTACCTGGAAAACAATTGACTTCAGTCTTTTCAGTGTTTTTTCAGGGTAAGGCCTACCACACATCTGTGGTACCACATCATACTGTGGTTTCTGCATCAGTGTCTTAAGGCTTCTGTCTAAAACTGGCCCGTGTAAGAACTGAAGAAAGTGGTCACCTAAGGCAGTTCTTGGTCATCACGTGTTTGTTAGGGATTGACTATGTGCAGGTTCACAAGACCAATAATAACAGAGTGCTATTGACCTGTTAAGTATTCTTTGAAACAGGGCTGAAATGCAGCTTATTATAAGTTAATTATTTTTGCTGTTGTAAATATAAATGGTTTACAGTGTGCTTTAGTGCATATTTCTTAAAAATTCCAGCGGTGAGAAATAAGTAAGACCCTTTTGAATTTAGCGCTCTGGTTCTAAACTGATAATATAGCATGTTACTTGGAAAAAGTCTGGAATATGTGGTGCACACAACAGTGCTTCATGAATGAGTTTCTTAGTTTTTATAATGCACCATGTTTCTCAAAGTTTGTGTTTTTCATTTTTAAAACATTTTATGATGTATATCTTATGTTTATTACTTTTCTTCCTCAAATAATTTGATTATGTACTGCACCATAAGTTGAAGATTAACCACCCATTATTTATCTTCTGTGGGACTTTATATGGCTGGGTTGCGGGGAGGGTGGGAATTTTTTGCAGAAGGTGCAGAGTAATTGGGTTTAGTAGTCACTGTTGCAGGGAGCTTTTTTACATTGATTTCCTGTGCGTTTTTTTCCCAGTTCCGATGCAAACCGTTTCTGTTTACATACCTTCTCTGTTGTGTCAGTACTTTGACTCTAGTGAGATTACAGTTTACTTAAAACTTGAGAGGGCCATTCAGCATTGCCTAATGTTTTTGCTTCTCAAATCTGTGTAGTACACTGGTTTGTAATCTTTGTGTCTTCATTGAATCTGAGCGTCTTTGCTCTTTCTCCCTCAAAGAAATATGTTGTCTTATATACTCTTTTAAGAAAAAAGAGTAAAGAAGGATATCTTTCTTTTTCTCAGTTTCTTTGAGTTGGAAACAAAACAAAAAAGGACTCTAGAAGATAGACATTTAAATTTAAATAGCTTAGTGGAAAAAGTTTAAGAGTTTCCAATTATTAGTTTTTGTTTTTAGAATCAGTTAAGAGACTGCTCCTTGTACTGGAGATACTAGCATATGTTTGTAATGTTACCTTAAAATTATCTTTTTATTTTATAAGTCCCATACATACTGGTTAAATTCTTTAAAGAGTTGGGCCACTATCATGGATGGTTTCACTGCCATTGGCCCTGTTGATGTATTATAAATGGCATCCTTATCTACTTATTTTAATGCTTAAAGTTTTATATAAAACGCTTTATTTAGAAAACTTACATAATATAGTGGTGTCAGCCTTGCCATGTACCAATTTCACTTGAAATTTGACACCAATTGCAGTGGTCTGGGGTGGAGAAGGCAGTCCTGGAAAGCATACAGATAAGGATATCTTTTCCTGTTTGCAACAGTATCCTTTTATGTGGGAGGAGAAGTTACTATTCAAGGAAGGCAGCTTAAGTGGATAATGTTTTGTGTGTCATTGACAATTTTTCTTAAAATATTTTTAAAATTGTGTAATTGCTAAATGCCCAATTTTTCTCTGTATTTGCCTGAAGTTTTAGTATTTGTTTTCTAGGTTGACTTCTAACCAAACCAGTGTTTGGGGAGGTTAGGTGTGTCTGTTTGCAAGCTTGATGTGTGTGAGTGGTTTTGCTTGCTTTTTGGTTGTGTTTTCCTCCAGAGGTTTGGAAATCTTAATCAGTAATTGTGTGTATTATTTTATTTTAAGTGGCTTTGGTTTTGTTTTTTTTTTTTTTCCCTCAAGTAAAATTGTGAACACATTTGCTTTTCAAGGGCAGGGCGTCAGTCCTAGAGACTGAAGAGTGTTGTAGGCTGTACTCTGTGCCTTCCTGGTGTGTTTCTGGACACAGTTTTTTTGTGTTTTTTTTTTCCAACAACTTGAAAACTTAAAAGGGACATTTGGTTAGGTTATATACTGTACATCAATCTATGCATAAATGGCAGCTTGTTTTCTTGAGCCACTGTCTAAATTTTTTTTTCTGTTTTTATAGAAAATTTTTGTACTGATTGGTTCATAGATGGTCAGTTTTATACACAGACTAAACAATACAGCACTTTGCCAAAAAATAAGTGTAGCATTGCTTAAACATTATATATTAACACCAGTTCTTTGTAATTGGGTTCAGTGGTGTATTTTGCACTACCTGGAGTTACGGTTTTTAATCTGTCAATAAATAAAATGTCTTTTACCTTCACATTTGTCAGATTCTTTTATCTTATCTTTATGGTCATTAGCCTTAAAAACTTTGTACAACTTACTTAATTATCAATCAGTTCAGTTGCTCAGTCATGTCCGACTCTTTGCGACCCCATGAACCATAGCACGCCAGGCCTCCCTGCCCGTCACCAACTCCCAGAGTTTACTCAAACTCATGTCCATTGAGTTGGTGATGCCATCCAGTTGCCATCTCATCCTCTGTCATCCCCTTCTCCTCCTGCCCTCAATCTTTCCCAGCATCAGGGTCTTTTCAAATGAGTCAGCTCTTCGCATCAGGTGGCCAAAGTATTGGAGTTTCAGCTTCAACATCAGTCCTTCCAATGAACACTCAGGACTGATCTCCTTTTGGTTGGATCTCTCTGCAGTCCAAGGGACTCAGCTTTCAT